TATACCTAACTTTACCAAAAGACTCATTTCGTTTACTTACTTCTAATTTCACGAAACTTAGACTTAACCTAAGCGTTTAATTATTCCAAGGCTTTATTATCGCCTTGATAGACTGAATTTTACAATAGTTTAAGACTCAGAAATATCCATCGAAGTTTACAGAAACTCAAGAGGAGGAGTAATAACTTCAACGGAAGGTTGCATCGTGATGTGTGCTATATTTGAACCGGTAATTGTGATACCAGCAGATGCGTGTGGCTGTGTGGTAGCCGAATATGGAGTTGTGAGAAATACAGGGAAATAAAGATACTAAGAGTGTATGGTAGACGTGATGTCTAGCCGAGGCTCATAGCCTGTTAGAATAATTGAATTCATGTATAGTATATTTTTATTGTTCTCTCTAGTGAGAGATTATATATGTATTTCTTTTACATGTGCATATGGAGTTCACACGTAAGTATAATATGATCTTTTTATAAGACCTAAGAATATAGGTGTCAATTCCTGTATGACACTGTTGACAGTCACTATTATGACACATCTGACAACTGTCATTATGAGAGCACGTCGAATAGCTGTCACTTTCCTGTGTACCAAATTGTTATTGTGTCTGAAATAGTGATGACAGGATTTTGTCTATACAGCACCTGTCACTATAAAAGTATTAATGCTCGAGCCCTAGTACTCCTATTTATATGAACCGAGTAATTTTATGTTCTAAAAAGCAAATTGGCGGTTAATGAAATCAAAGAACAGGACAAAATCCCTTGGACCTGAAATCTACAAACAGAACGGGACAAAATAAATAAATTCAACGTGGATGAACTACAGTGCTCGATCATATTTACATAGCCTTCTCCTGTATAATTTAGAAGAAGGCTATGAAACTTTAAAAAAGAGCGGGATAAAAAAAAACTCAACATTATTGAACTACAGTGCACGTCTGCACGATTATACACAGCCTTCTTTTGTATAATTTAGAAGAAGGCTATGAAACGTTACAAACAGAACAAGACAAAGATTTTATGAGTCTTTCGGATTCGCCCCAGTGAAACATACCATAGTTTCTAATAGAGCGACAACGAAACACTAAATAAAATCCCTTCGGCGGAAACAATACTGAGAGGATTATATATAGGCAATGTCTCAGCCTCACAATCCCTCAGAGTATTGCTGTTTTCACGAGGCATACCAAACTTTACTAAAAGTCTCATTTCGTTTATTTACTTTGATATTTACACGATACTTAGAATTTACCGACGCGCTTATTTATTCTAAGGCATTAGTATCGCCTTTATTCGACCGAATCTTACAGGCTGGGCATTTCCAAATTATATTTTTGGAGTAATGTGCTGAAGTAGATTTGTTGGTGTATGGTGACTACTCCAGAGGGCAGAAATCCCATTTTCATTTTTAAAAACCATTCCGCTGTTGGCATTGATTTTGTTGACCATTTTATGAATAAAATTGTCTCCAAAATATCCAGAGTTCGTTTGTCAGAGGCCGTCGCGATTTTATCGTCCACTTATACAATGACCAGGTCCAAGGTGCCATCGGAGTTTTTTTCGTCGAAAAAACAATGATGGGTCTGATCGCGTTGGCTGATATCCCTGTTGACCTAGAACCTCACAGACCTCCACAAAATATAAGTAGCCAGATTGCTTTAGGCCATATAGTGGTAAATTTACTCTGCACCATACGGCTTTGTTACCTTGGCTTTACTCATGATATAGTTCCTGCTCCTCTTCGCTGAATAAATCAAGGGCCAGGTGTAATCCTTGCGGCATCCTCATATATACATAACGGTCCATTTTTCCGTTTAGGTATGCGTTCAGCGAGTCGAATTGTCTGACATACCATTTCTTACTGGCTGTTAGTGCCAAACAAATTCGGACGGTCTCTTTGCTCACTACTTTGGCGTCACTCCGTTTGAAATCCACTCCTTCGACAGCATTGTATCCAGCTACGGTCAGTTGTCCTTTAACACGCTCGATTTTTCCAGCAGAGTCCATTTTGGGAGTAAAGACCCATTTGGAATTCATAATCGCGCTTTTTGCAGGTTTAGAGTCTACAAGAGTGAAGGTCCCTCGTTCCACTAGGTCTCGAACTTCTTTGGTAGCTGCGTCCATCCACTCCTTTTCTTTGGAAAATTGTCAATCTCCTGGAAGGTCTTGGGAATTGGGATCTGCGCCGGCCTCGCCGGCGTTGGTTGGTGCTGATGTTGATTGGCTGAAAAGGCAGTTGTTGAGTTTCTTCTTCGTCGAAAGCGACAACTGTTATTGCTCTTGCTGAAATTTGCGAATTTATGACCTCTCTCGAAGATCGGCGACCGGCCTTTTTCCTTTTTGAGATGTGAGCGGATATGGTCCCAGTTTGGTCTTTGGAAGCAGTAGAAAATTTGATTTCGATAAAACGTCAGAGTACTTCGATTCTCGATGGCGTTTACTAGAGGCGGCTTGAGTATTTTCGCCTGGCTCTATAGGCCGTGAAGATACGGTCGATCAGTCGTCGTTCGTCGGCTCAGCTTTTCTTCCTATAGTCTGCTCCGTACATTGTCCATCCTTCCATATGTAGAATTCATTCTAAAAAAACGTATATCTCTGGTTCGTGATGCTCTGTTAGTTTCTGGACTAAGAACTCGGAAAGTATCAAAGGTGGTTCGCTGGGGGTTAGCCATCACAATTCCACGGCGAGCGCGCTTGTCCCATTTTTTTTTTTGCTTTTAGTCGTCTTCCGCCATAAACATTTGCTGCCGAAGGTTCGAAAACGGTTATAATTTGGTTTTCAGCCAGTGAATCTTTCGATTGGCGTTGTCGGGTTCCTCTTACTTCCGACGTTGTTCCTCACTCCAAAATTCGACACCTAAGCCGGAGTTGTGTAGAGTCGCCCTAGCTCTTCCTAAATTGGTACGGTGACTCCGCTCAATTTTTCCGATGTGTTGTGGCGAGTCTTTCGATGTTCATCGAACATCGTAGCCAAGTTTTCGTAAGTTAGTCTCTACCCTTATCCACAAATTCCGAGCCCCGGTCGAATTGTAAAACGTTCGCTTTCCTTCCACTCAGTACTGTTAAATCGTCTAGTGCTCCGAGTTAGGCGTCATATACTACTGGCGCCTTCTTGGTGGATAGTGGTTCAAATTTCACGAAATTGGATCAGTCGTCAATGAGAGTTAGGCCATAGCAGTTTCCTCCAATGCTCCGTTTAAATTTCCCAATAAGGTCAATATAGAGCAAGTCCATTGGGGGTTCGGATGGGCCGTTCTTTCTGATCTTTCGTGTCCGACGTCTGACAAATTTACCCATGATACAGGACTCGCAGTTCGCATGATAGTCGATAGGTGGCAGGTCCTTGGGTAAATGATCCAGGTGCGCTAGTCGTTCATGCCAACTGGCGGAGTAGGCAAATTCTTTTGAAAAAAATTACAGGGGTACGACGTAAACACCTTGCTTCTGCTTACAATTATATACTAGGTGTTGGGGTGATAGTAAGAGGCAGACTGTGTCATCCATGTAGATCTTGTATCCTGCCTTGATTAATTGGGGGACGCTGATTAGGTTTGTCTTTAGAGTTGGTCCATAAATAGCCCTTCCAGCGTCACTCAATTGCCCTGAGTGAGTTGCGATTCCAATTGTCCCGTCGGCTAGGTGTAGGTTTTTGAAGTGACGTTTTGCGTTTGATATCAACTCCAAATCGTTAATAATGTGGACTGAGGCTCCACTGTCCAGAGTCCCACTAGGTTCAGTCGCTGTTATTTCGTCAGACGTAGATTCTTTTTGGCCGAAAATTCTTTCAGGGTCTATGGCTTTGATTGGTGAAGAGATAACGTCCTCATTAAATTTATCACTAAAAGCTTCATCTTCTTCGGAGTCGCTGTAGGACCTTAGGTCGGGTAGAGCTGTCGAGTAGGGGTCCCAGGGGTCCATCCTTGGGTAGGTTAAAATCGTCGTCCTCACTAGAGCTGTCGAGTAAAAGCCCTGGCGGTCCATCGTCTAGTTGGATTATTTAGAATAAAATCTCATAGTTCTCTCTCGTCCGGCTCGGTGCTTGGCTTCATCCCAAATCCAGGGCAATTTTTGGGGGTTGCCATGATGGCTTCTGGCATGTCATCATCCGACAATTCGACGTCAGATTCGATATAGTCGGCAACTGTTGAGAATGCTCTAACGCTTTCATCGTCACTACTCGAATTTTGCTCATCATTCTTGTCCAAATTACACGTTACTTTAGGAGGTTTACGCATTTCCTCCCTCGAGTAGTATCATCCTCGTACGTTAGATGCTTTTCTGTAAAATTCATTACGTTTATCTTGATGATAGTTGGGTTTATTCGACGGGTAGTCGGCACGTCGTGAGTAGAGTGTAGATTTTGGTATTGAATAGTCTTTGCGGTAAGACTTGGACTCATCAGCTCTATTACGATGATGTCGTTCGTCGGAATTGTTTTCACGACTGTTGGAGTATCGGTTTTCATAAGGTTTGCGATGTTCCCTGCGGTCAGAGTAGGCGTGCGGTCTGGGTCTGCGATGCTTGGATCGGCAATCACGAGCAAGGTGACCTGGTTTGCTACAATTGAAGCACTTTCGTTCTGTTCTGGCAGAAAGTGCTCTCTCTCCTCCTCGAGTCTTTGTATTGGAGGTCGATGTTTGGATTTCCTCCGTATCGAATTTTCGGAGATATTCGCAGAGCTCCTCGTAACTAATGACGTCAGTATCAACTGTGTTGAGATGAGTTCTTGCTGCTTTAAAACGTTCATCGAGACCTTCCTTCAAGACGGTCTTCAAGTCAATCTCAGACGGTGGTGCCTCGCGTTTCTCCAATTACATTTTCTTCAAATTAATATCACCAATAAAGGCCTCCAAAGTTTCGTTACTCTTCTGCGTTTTTGCCCAGAGCCCCTTTCTCAAACGGCCAATTCCTCCCTGGGTGTTAATCTTAAGTTTGGTTTCCAATACCTTGAAAAAAGCGTAGGGTTCCTTCATGATATGGAGTAACTAAGAGACTACAGTAGTAGACGTACTTCTACATACGTTAATAACATTTTACGTCGTCAGCCCGAGAGTAATTTGGGACTTGTTCTCAAATTAATATAAGTATAGGTGGGTCAGCCCGAGAGAACGTAAGAGTAATTTGAGACTTCTTCTCAGATTATTCTATTTATAGAATACGGGCCACCGGCTAGCCGAGAGCCGAGGTCCGAGACTGAGTGTAGTAACAGAGAATATGATATATTTATTTCTGGAAAATATGTTTGAGTGCTAAAGTGTTCTGCATAAAGTTCTCATACTGATCATATGAGTTTTTACCCAGGCCAAACCAAGTGGTTGGACATTAGTACAAACACCATCAGTATATAACTGAGGGTTAGATCATAAATAAATTCATTCGAATGCACCATACTTTAGATACACTAGCACTTTACTATTAGTCCCCCACACCGCACGCCAACAGTAGCTCCTGTTGAAGTCGTCGAGAGATCGTATGGTAATTTGACTCAGACGCGGCTCCACGATCCTCTTGAGTAAACGTTTCACGTTGAGTCTCATAGTAGTCGTCGGGTGGTGTAGCGGCTTCGATCCGTTGTAGGCGACCCTGTTTCATCAGGATCATCCAATTGACTTTCCATTGGTCCCACTGGACCGGCCTATCCAAAATCAGGAATTTAACCTTTGGTTCCAAATCAGTGTTTTAAGTTTTATGTGAATAGTTATGATTTATTTTATTCGAGTCCCTGCTTTTATATGCATTGGACACGTAATCCTTAAGCCATTAAAAAACACCCCTTAAGGTGAAAAAAGTTCTCACTTAATCTATGATCCAATCCAAAGGCTTTTAATATCCATTGTAATCTTTGGCCTTATATGTGTAGATTGTACTCCTCCGATATTTAGGGATGCCCTTATGCCCATCAGAGATTTTCTACATTGATGATTCCGTACTCCCAGCACTTCGGCTCCAAGATTAATTTCCATCTGTAATATTTCTGTGTCCCTCTCTGAGTTTAGATTTTCTCCTTGGTTGATGCTGGGATAAACCTTGTTGAGCCTCCGGTGTTTGACCGTAGTTTTATGCTTGGTAAATAATCCTGGTTTACTGTGATCAATAACTGGCACTTTACTATCAGTCCCCACACCGCACTCTAACATATTAACGTATATAGAAATACGTCTACTACTGTAGTCTCTCAAGGCATGCATGAGAGGGTATCGCGTTTCTGCATGGTGCTGCGTCATGAAGGAACTACCCAACACTGGTGAGATTGAAACGGCCACTGCAGCACTGATCCAGGAACTCGAATAAAAAGATCGTTCATCTCTGGACAGCGAAGATACAGAACAAAAAGAATGGTTCCCACAAAGCTTATGCAGCCCTGGCTATGGTAAACAACAATATAAACAAGATTTTGTTAGTGCAGGCTATTGCTGAGCCTGCGCCTGCGCTATTAGAGAAAGTTGTAGTCGAGGTGAATGAGCAGATTGCGACTGTTGAATTGTTGTTTTCTTTGATTTTTAAGCTCACGCAGCATGTTCTCTCTGTGTCGGGTTTCGCTGAGCAAGGCCCGCATCGCTTGCTCAGTTGGCTTCAGCAATCATGAGTCCTAAATGGTGCATCATTATTTGATTTTGTCAAAATTGAGGATGGTGTTGGCACTAAGGTGAACGCCCATAAGGGTATCCGGCAGCCGAAGCAACCGCGGAATGGTAACAACCAGGAGGCAGGTAACAATGGCAACCAAGTAGAACTATTTTACCCGAGATATATAACTCCAAGGATAAGGATGGGCGTTATTCTAAGCCCTGGAAACGACGTGGTCGACTTTCAGAATCAGAAGATGCTGGATCAGATCGCGGACGTTCGCACTCACGCTCTAGTAAGGACAGGCGTGGGAGACAGCACTCGCGTTCGCATAGTCGCGAGCGTGGGCGTGATCAGCAGAGAGGGAGTCGTGGGGGTAAGCGTGCATATTCAGAATCTTCAGAGTCTGGAGGTGATATGTATTGTACGGTATGTCGTGATACTACCCACACGGCGGAAGACTGCCCTACGTATGGCGGGTCAGCAGGGGCGGTTTTGAAGAAAAAGTTGTGCCGCAAGTGAAATGGAGCGGTGGTTCCTGCCATAGTTGGTGCTGTGCACACTTGGGCGTATGCGGATTCTGGTTGTACTTTCAACCTTGTTACGAATCGCATGTTTGAGACGCTTGGTATAACAGCTAAGACTAGGTATGAAGGGCCACCATTCGAAGGCATCGATGGCATGTGAACTTTATCGCCCAATGTAGTAAGTAAACGCTGGATAACTGTATCTCAACGTTCTCCCTCCGTAGAGAAGGAGACTTTGTTCACTTATTAGTAATTGTAAAATTAGTGACTCTAAAAGTGAGTCATAAGTCATGTGCTGTAATAGTCAGCAAAAACTAAGTTTATCAGATTATTCTGATAAACTGTAAAAAACTAAAATAACTAAAATAAGCAACTAAAACCTAAGTACTTGTATCCTGACCACAACCCCCCCAAACTGAAGCACTGACCGAAAAGCAGTGTGCCAGTTTTAGAGATAGTGAGGAATACCCAAGTAACTTAGTTGCTGGCATTTATCCTCTGAGAGCTAGAGCAGTGTGCTGGCATTTATCCTCTAGGAGCTAGAACAGTGTGCTGGCATTTAACCTGAGAGCTAGAGGACCCGAGGTGTACGTCTCGAGTAACCCGTCGTTTTGAATACTTGAGACAACTGTTCAGTAGTGACACCATATATGCGTTCTGGCAAGTACAGTATAGAACTATACCTGTGTCGGAGAAAAACTGCCAATAGCAGAAACCGTGCAAACCAGTTAACCCGATGATTCCAAACAGAGCCCAAGGAATTGTCTAGTAGATATCGCTGTTTTATACTCCAGAGCTCGAGTGGCTGGTTCATACTCGGGAGCTAGAGTGGCTGGTTTATACTCGGAAGCTAGAGTGGCTGGTTTATACTCGGGAGCTAGAGTGCGATCTCCGAAAACAGAGTACACGGACTCTGATGCTGTTTAGTCCTATATTAATCTGCAGGAGAATACCGTTTGTGTGCCCCTTCGCACTCAATCGTGTATTCTCAGGCTACGAGAGTTCATTCCCCATATACTGAGTGTGCCCGGTGATTGTGTCTAAAACAACCCCAATCACTCGCAGGTGTCTGCGTGAACTCAATTGATATCTTCCGGTCACCTGAGTTTACAAGAATTCTCGCTCGCATACTAAACAGACATGATGAACTCAATCGATGCCACCAGCTACGAGAGTTGACGGACAGCTATTAGGTCACTCGAATGTTGAGTAGTACACACGCTTTGGTCAACCATCGCAGATATTTACCGCAGGGCACATGACTCACTATCAACTGACTTGTAGTTGGAACAATATGCTGGCATTTAATCTCTGAGAGCTAGAGGGCTCGACGATTACGGTTCGAGCGCACCGTCCTACCGAGTAGGCATATCTGAAGATAAAATTTTGGATTTGGGCATGTTGGCGTTTACGTGTCCGTGTCTGCGAGGCTTTATGGTAGGCCGCGATATCGTTGGTATCATCAAAAGCCTCCGATGTTTCCCACGTCGGATCGCTTTCACGCCATCGCACCAAGTATTCCAATTTCCCTGTTTCATCATTAGTACGGTGTGTAATATTGTGGCGAAACTCAACACCTCCTTCTGTCCACAATTCGTCGTTAAGTGGTGGGTCTGTGCGCCTATGCACTAACCTGAAGAGTTCCACCCGTACCGGTTTGTGATTGAATTCTGGAGGGGCGGATCCGTCTTTATTCGCTAACTCATATCGTTGTCCGATCCTGGCCTTCACCACATACGGCCCAAACAGTGGCCGCATTGCCTTAGTCGTTCTACCCTCCGATCGTACCATAACCACATCGCCTTCGTCGAAATGGACCAAGTCATGAGCGTGCAGGCGGTCAAATGTCTTCGTGAGTTTGCCTGTATACTTCTTGGTAATGTGGTGGAGAGTCGGCAGTATGGTATCCTGCAACTGGTCTAACCGTTGTGCCCCGGTGTCGTTCGTCATCGGCTGGGTATCCGGTAAGTCATCAGTGAAGTCGGCAAATGGTACATGACGGCGGCCAAAATATACACTGAACGGCGCGCTCTTGTGACGTCACCGAAGGTTCCGATCGAGCATCGTAAACGGAAGGCGTTCGTCCTATCGTAGAGGAACTGCCTCACAGCATTGTCGAATGAAACGTGTAATCTCCTTAT